CCTACCCTGGGTATGGGTGGTACCAATCAATAGGCTTGTAGCCTGGATGCAATATAAAGGGACAGAAGGCAGGCTTGCTACTTACACTTAGTGCTTCACTGTCTCCTGCCTGCTTGCCATGGACTATTTCTTCTGTGCAATGACCTTGTGCCATGCCACCCTGCCTTACAGCCAACTATGGACTGAAACCTGTACAAACCGAGCTAAATAAACCTTTCTTCCTTTAACCTGTGGGTGTTGGGTATTTTGTCCAACAATGAATAAAGTAACTAAGACAAATGAAAATAGCTGTGAAAAATAATCCTGAATTTATATAAAGTTTTAAAATGTGTGTGTGTGTGTGTGTGTGTAGGGATACAAACCTATGTAATAAAAATATAGCAGGAAGGATACATATCAATTTTAGAATAGCTGTCCTTGAAAGCACAGAGAGAGGAAGGGAGATACAGTAAGATGAAGGAAGGGAAAGTTTAGGTGTATATTGTCTTTTCTTTTAAAAAATATTTACAGGAAAGGTTTATTAAAATACAAATTATAATTCAGTGAGACTGGGTGCCAGGGGCAGTGGTGTCAAGATCCTGCACTTCTAATAAGCTCCCACATGACACTCATGCTATTGAGTTGTGGACCACACTATAGATCCTTGGACCTTAAGAAAGTATTGCTCTGATGTTGAGCACAAGTGTATGTGTTTTTTTGTTGTTGTTGTTTTGTATGTTTGAAGTAGTTCATAAGTAAAATCAAAATAAAGTCCAGGAGAATTCCTAATAGCCTCTAGAAGGTGATACCAATCAATACTAAATAATGTTGCTGTTAACTATATATATACTTATCTTGAGGTGTTCATTTTTGACACATAAAATATTTAGAGTACACATAAATACATACGAAAGAAAGGCATGTAGAGAACTAAGAAAAATGCCATGACAGTGATTAAATGCTTAAAAACTGTTTTACAGTGAATATTAACATTTTACTTTTGTCATTTCATCCTTAAAAGTAGACAGATTATGTAACTTAATCTTAACCTAATCACTTGTCATTGATGATATATTCCTGAATCAGGACACTTTTTGAGGTGTTCTTAAGCTTTAAAAAATGAAGTGCAAAAGCACCAATTCAGATGAACATTTATAATACAACAAATGTAATGCAGATTAATATTTTGATTATCATAAGCAAATAACCTCACAGAAAAAGAACTGCTTTATAAGTGGATATAAATTTCTACAGTAACAAATAATGAGGTGAAGAAGTTTATATTAATTTACATAAACCTTAAACATAGAATATAAGGCCTACAGAATACAGGATTTTGATTTGTACTCTACATTTTTTTAAGAGGAAAAGGGGTTTACTTATTTATTTTTAAATTTTATTTTATTTTATCCTATTACGCCCCTCAAGGCTCCTCCCTTTCTATGTACAAAAGCTGTTTCCATTTTTTCCCTCTATTTTCACTTTTTTTCTTGTCCCTTCCTTCCTTTCTCTCTCCTCCTTCCTTGTTCCCCTTCCCAATTGAACACTTTGTTCCCATTTCCCAGCATCCATTATACATCTCAGGCCTTATTTCCACATTCAGTTTCTCACACCAGAGCAACGGTGCGGTATTTAAACATGTTGTACTCTACTATTTTTCAAGCATCAAGAATTGTTTCTAGCACACAAAAGCAAATTCTCAAGAAATATCTATCAAATGAATAAATGGATAAGCAAAACTTGGTTAACAAGTCCAATATACTAAGATGTTGTAAGGGCCATAAAGGCAAACTCAAAAGATGGCCTTGCCTTTTATGATATGGACATATAGGGAGAAAGAAAGATAAAGTTAACTTATATATCATATCATTATATCATACATAATAAATAGATACTCTTAGAAATCTATATATTTTTATATAATAGAAACAAGTATGGTGATGTAGAATGGATGGAAAATACGTACTTAGGAGAATTATATGTTTCTAAAATGGAATTATAAGATGAAAGTTTGAGAAGCAAAGGATAGATAAATTCAACTAATGTCTAGAATTTCTTGAGAAGGGCCTCCAAAGTGTTCTCTTATTAATTTCTTTGAGGAGTTATAAACATCAGTTTAAAAATCCGTATTCTTAAGCAAACTTTATAGGATATAACATACATTATTTTTTAACTACGTAAGGGCTCTCTTTCATTAGCTTACATAGGAAGTTAACTGTAACTTACAGTATCACATTCTTGTCAGTATCTCAGCACTAAGATGGTGTCGGATTCTAAGATACTATCACAGTTAGTAACTTACCAAGAGATATCTATTATATTTGGGTGGACAGTAACAGACTTTTCATTTTTAAAAATGCTGTTCTTTTTAATTGTAAAATTCCCTTAGGTGAAAGAGATAAAAAAATGTAAATCAACATTCAGTGATTATGTTCTAGGTATTGTACTAGTTGCTTCATATTTCATCCTAGTCTTTATGAACTCTACAAGGTAAATATTATCCCTCTTTAACAAAGAGGAAACACACAGAAGTTAAAACAGTCTGAATACCAAAGATGTCAAGCTCCAAAGCCCACAGTCTCAGATTGTATTAATGATTTTGAAATACAAGACAAATAGACCTTATATTTGAATAAAAGAAACTTGCACATTTTCCTGATTTATAATGTGCTTCTTTTAAACTACTATCTTCACTTGTGGTTTCTGTTTCTTCCTCCTTTGAAAAAAGGAAGGATGTAACAGTAGGTTTAGTCTTACAGGTAGGTGAGAATAGGTAGTTTATGCCTTAAATTTCCAAAAATTTGACCAATTAGAAATTAATTTAGAGTAGCTTAATTTCTTTTAAAACCTACCTATGCCACTTATTTGCATCATAGGAAAAATTTTGCTATCATTAATGAAATATTTAAAGTATACATTTGGCAGTATAGCATCACTGTGTTGCAAATAACTAGCTGTGATTTACCAGTACCTCTAGATAAAATGAAAGCAAATTTAAAATTAAAATACTCTTTTGAAAGAAATCACAGTAAGTCAACTTTTGAAACATACCATTTTTTTCCAAAAATGTTCAATCCATTTATAATTTCTTGCCTGTTTTTTCTTATCATTCATTTCTATGATCTAAATTTTTTAAAAAACTAATTAAAATACCTATATGAAAGTTTAAAAAATTAAGTAAGTTCAACACTAAAGATTACCTAAATCACGTTATTATTTTATTTATCAATCATCTAGATATAAATGGTACCTTGAAAATTATATTTGGGCCTGGGGATATAGCCCAGCACTGCCGTGCCTGCCTGGCAAATGCAAGGCCCTTAGTTCAATTTTTAGTACCAGGGAAAAACTATATTGTAATTATTATGTTGCCACTAAAGAACAAGAAGTCTTCTCATTCAACACTGAGTGTGATACTCAATAAATGTCACCAAATAAATAAGTGAATATACAACTAAAATAGAAATGGAGGAATCTGCTATAGTGATTTCAAGTCCAATGTGTGCAAAGTGGAAGAAATCTATCTCCACTTTCCATTACTTTAAAAGTTTTTGAAGACTGAATAATAATGTAGAAATAATTAATTTAAAAGGTTATTTCAGATCCTGTTGATGAATATTCAAGACAACATAAAAATTTACATGATGTTAGAAATGACTGTGAATTTGGAGATCAAGTTTAGCATCTTAATTTCAGAAATGGTTATCCCTACCAGCATAATCAGGGGGAGGTCTTCTAAGTCCTACTTTCCTATTTACTTTAGAAAAAATGGGCATAAAGAAAAGGACTTGAGATTTTTCAGGAACTTTGGAATTCAGAATAGTGTAGTTATTCTTCATATGTTGCCCTTTGACCAGGAATATCATCTGAATGTGACATAAATTAAATTAAATGAAATTTCTGTTCCTATCCTAGTCCCACAGAATAAGAATAGTGCCCAGCACTCTGTTCTCTTGGTGATTCTAATGCATGCTCAAGTTTGATAACCACTGGGATAGAATTTTTAAAGTTAGGAAAAAAAAAAAACTTTACATTTATGTGTAGTACTTTGAGGAATAAAAACTGATCCAAAATCAACTAAGCAGAGAAAACAATCTCAAGGCAGCAGGGGTGAGAATCCACTTGTGTTATCAGTATTACTGGAAACAATGAACAAGCCTTATCAATTTAAAATTTTTAAATTAAAATTACCAAAAGATCTATAATAAAGTTTTCTTGATCTCTCATGCTCATGAAGAAAGTCCAACAAAAATTGAAAACTTCATTTTTCATTTAGATTTGCGATGACTTTTTCTGTAATTAAACATTTCTTTGTTTTGTTAATAGGAATAACTAGTGGAGTACCAAATATAAATGGAACTAGTGGAGTTCTAAAATAGCTGTGTGCACCCAGATAAAACTAGTCACTTTGGGCTTCTATTTATTGTCTTCTATTCTCTTAAAACTAGTTGGATAATTTTTTTTCGTCAGTACTGAAGACTTAAGCTGCCAAAGAACTACAGTCTTAGTCCCTTTTAATTTTTTGAGACAGGGTTTTGCATTGGTGCTGAGGCTGGCTTCAAGCTCTTCTTGCCTCAGCCTCCCTAGTAGCTAGAATTATAAGTGTGAGCCACTGCGTATGACCTTCACTATGAATCCATGAATACCAGCTTTCTCCCAATACTCCCCGAACAAGTCTAGTTCATTTAAACACTTTAATATCATTACTAGTATTTAAATTTGTCTGGCAATTCTAGTTAAGTCAGTGATCAAGTCGGTGTCTCATATGTATTATTTCCTTTGCAGTAGATACGAGAAGACAATCTATTTTTGGTTTTAAATTTAGATTCTAATCCGAAGTTATTAAGTGGCTCCCTCTCCTTCCACCTTCTGCAACTCGAGGAATCTAGTGTGGTGGAATGGATTTCAGTTGCTAAATCTGAGCCACAAAACTTTAAGATAAAACCAGAGAGTCAAATAGCCAATGAAAAACGATACAAAACTGTCTGAATTAAGCTTTACATTCTTCAGGTTAAACCGTGTATCTAAAATCTAATAAAGCAGAACCGTTCATGGCAACATTCCTGACAAAACGTGTCCAAAAAAGGCCTTCAGGCCTATTCTCCCCCGGCTCTGGCGTCAATGCTATGGCAACAGAGAGGCTGGGATACTAAGTTAACACCTTTGGGCACTAAACTTAGGAGAAGGATCACAAGTTCGAGCCCAGTTTGGGTAATTTACTGAAACTGTCTCAAGATTCAAAACAAAACGAAAAACAAAAAAACATTATAAGGGCCGGGGATACATCTCAGTGCGTGAGTCAGGAAGGAGAAAAGACTTTGAGGGTTTATATGAACGTCCTCCATTTTTCTGTCCAATGCCTCAAACACCACAGTCTTGAGAAGAGGCAAGTAGGTAATTTGGGGAGGCTTTTCTCTCCCTGGATATCCCATCCTCACTGTTAACTAACTCCCAGCGACTCCCCAGACGCACGCCGGTTACCTCAGTCCCGAGAGCTGCGGCCATCTTCCCCTCGAGCGCGCCTCGAGCGCGCCAAGGCTGTGGCCGCAAAGGCTTGTGGGGTGGGTGCGGCCCTGGGAGGCCCAGCGGGCGCAGCTGGGAACTCAGGCGCCACCTCCCCCGCTCTGCCACTCCAGGCTCTGGCGAGCCAAGTTGCAATCCTGGACTGATTCAAAGTAGCACTGGTGAAAGTGGTGACCAGGAGTTTTGGATTCCCCTAGTCCTCACATACTGTATACCTGTCTTTTCTGGGCCCAAATGACTCACAAGAGCCTGTTTTCATGTCATGCCGTGTGGCCTGCTCCAGGGCTCAACAGGAGACGCCACCCAAAATGTTAGGCTGGAACGAGGTCATATAACATAAACGCCCCGCTTTATCTAGTAGGTGGTAAATACTCCCTTCCTACTAAGCACACAGGTGGCAGAACTCAGAAATGGAAAAAAAAAATAGTTTCTTCATCCAAGAGGATACTGTAGGACCAATACAGATTATCAGCTAAAAAATGAGTCCACATATTGGTTCATGGAAAATAGGATGACTCCAGTAAGGGCAAAGGGTGGGCTACAGGTAGAACTCCAAGTATTACAATTTGTTATCTTAATACAAATATCTTAAGAATATAAAGACAATCCATGAGAATTATGGGAGATGCCGTGTGGACACACTATATTTGGGCTAACACAGTTTACACAAAAATATTTTTTAAAAAAACGTTTCGACTTTTTGTTAAGTAAGTATACTCTGTAGCTGGTTTTCGAAGGGATGTAAAAAATAGATCATAACCTAAACTGGGTCAAAACTGAAATCTTGGCAAGTTCTTCAATGAATTCCAACCCCTAAAGTCCAATAATTGTCTGAAATAAAGCAGCAGGAACATCTAAGCTGGTCCCCCAAGATGGAGGTAGGTACGATTTCTCAAATTATGGTTCTGTTCTTCCTCTGAACTTTTCTTTCTCTGTCTCCATTCTACTTTAAACAAGATTGACAACTTCTGTTAGATATGCCAGCTGAATTTGTATTTTCCTTGTCCAGGGATGACCTAGTATAGTATTTCCCAGTTGCAGTCTAGTTTATAAATTATGAGGGTTAGTCTTAAGAATAAAATGAAATAATCATCTCTTAATTTATTTAAGATATTTTTTACAAGTTTTGAAACTTTCCAATATAAAAGCCAGTGAGTCTTCTTTTACAAAATAACTATTTGACACATGATAATACAAAAATGGTTAAAAAACTGACTCATTGTCTTATGAGCAGATCTAGTTCAACTGTGACTAATTTTCTTATATTTAATCATGAAGTGTCTGGAAGATGGGTTAAATGATGAAAAAATGGGCGGCCATGAACACAGCCTTTAATTTCATTTCCAAACTGGTGCTTCATTTTACAGATAATATCTTGGATGTCTTCTTTTGATAAGTACATGGGTAATTGTCTAGACAGCCGAACTGCTTCTCCCTGTGAAAAGAAAGTGATAATTATTTACCTCAAAGCAGAAAGCACATTATTCTGTCAAGACGACAAAATTATTTTCATTTTATTAATTCACTCAACAAATATCTATTAAGCATCAACTGTTGTAGGTTCTGGAGATAATAGTGGCTAAAGAGAAAATAAGATCTTTGCTCTTGTGAAATTTATATTCTAGAGCAAAGAAAAAACATAAAAAGACAATTTTATTGACTAATGCACAAAATTAAACTTAGCAACATGATAGAGAATGATTGTGTAGTTAGGAAAAGCTTACTTGAGAAGATGCCATTTAGGCATCTATTTAAACTATCATGCACAGATCATGGGAAAGGAAAATCATTTCAGGCAGGGAGAACAACAGAAACTTCAGTATAGTGCAGCGCAGTTTTTAAAGAGGAGAGAAACACAAGAGGTTAGGCAGAGATAAGGATGAATATACAGAGAAGTAACAAGAGAATTTTTAAGCAAAAGCCTGACTTGTATTTCACATTTTAAAGCAATCAGCCTGGCTGCATGTGAAGTATGGTTGGAGGAATGTCAAGAAGCGAACCAAGGCTCTTGCTGACAATGACTGCAGCGAGGCTGTGACTAGGGTCATAGTGTCGAGAAGTAAGTACAGACTGCTGATATGAGTTGATGGTAGAGTGATGAAAGTTGAGGCAGAAGGCTTACAAATTAATCCAAGCTTGGGCAACTCGGTAACTTAGCAAGACCTTGTCTCAAAAATTTTTTTAAAAAGGGCCGGAGATATATCTCAACATGAGGGCCCTTCGTTCAATTTCCAGTACAACCAAAAACAAACAAAAATGGAGGACAATGCATAACGGGGGATAATTTAACAATGGGTATGTCAATGCTATTTTCCGAAAAAGGAGGAACTGAAGGTTTGGGGTTAAGACAGTGCTAGCAAAACCCTGCTTCTTTTAATATATTTATTTTGTTCTCTTTGATGCAGGGACTCACCAAGTATCAGGTTGGGCTTGAACACACCATGTATCTGAGGCTGGTCTCAAACGCGTGGAAATCCTGCCTCCATCTCCCAAGTACTAGGATTACAGGTGTGTGCCAACATGCCCAGCTTCTTTTCATGTATTTAAACATAGTCACACTTCAGGGATCTTGAATATTAACACTATTCACTTTAACTCAACACTCATTAGCTGTTCTTTCTCTTCACTCTGATCTTAATCTCTCCAATCCCTTCTTATTCTCGACCCAAAAGCACCTTTGTCATCTTTCCTAAGTGAAAGTAGAAATACTGAAAAATAAATGAAGCTTTAGGACTTACTATGGCTTCTTGTAATATAAGGTATTCAGATTTCTCTCTATCATCCCCCTTGTTATCCATCCTACTCATCTTGCCAATCCCTACCTTTGGACAATTCTAATAAGCACAGTTGGAGCCACAAAACAGTTCTGGCTACATCCAAAACAAATGTTACTGCTCCTGAGTCCTCAGGGACACCTGGAAATTTCCACATTCACAACAGATGCTGTTTCCAGTACTTAACAGCTCCTACTTTCAGATCTTTGCTACTGTACTCATATTCCTTATGCCTCCCCACCCAACCCCCTCACTCTTTTAACCTTATGCAACAGGCATAACTTCTCTCAAGTTAATCTGGAGTACTATTTTCACTTTTTCTTTACTTTGCTGGTCATCTCAGAAACAGCACTGCCTTCTAAAAGATAATCTTTGTATCCCTGTCTCTTTTGGAACATTTGTTCTTCAATCTGTTATTCTCTCTTGCACCAGTTCAGTACAAACATTGCTAAACATAACTCTTTTCTCCCCTGCACTATGACGTGACTTTCTGACACTTCCCCCACAAGCCACACTACTCTTTAATCACTGGCAAATACCTGCCACTCACACCACACTGCCATTCTGGCTCTCTTTAATGTCACCACTGTTAGGTAGCAGCCACACCCTGCAGTCTTCTAACCACCACTACCCGACACAGAATATGATGAAAAGTACTTATTTTTAAAATTTCTTTCCTTATTTGGCTTTTCTGTCTATCTCTTGGTTCTTCTTATATTGTGGTATCTGTATCTCTGATTCACTTTATTCAGATTGGTCATCAATTTCAGTCATCCTATGATTTAGACATAAGTTCTCTTTTTTCCTAGATTCTTTTCCTTAGCAATCATATCCGTAGTTTATGATGTGAAGTTTTAATGGAATTCTTTTTTTTTTTTTTTTTTTTTTTTTTTTTTTTCTGGTACCAGGGATCGAACTCGGGTCTTTGTATTTGGAAAGCAGGTGCCAGAACCACTGAGCTAAATCCCTGGCTAGTATTTTCTTCTTGTAAACAAACTCTATGGAAGCTACCTTATTTATTTATTTATTTATTCCCAACAGGAGACTTTATTAGGAGGCAAGTCAGGGAGAAAAGGGAAGAAGAGAGAGGAGAAAAACTACCCGTATTTTACCATTATCAAACCATTTACTATTTTATTAAGGAATAATTAAGTAATTCAAACCCTAGCCAACCTGCTTAATCTAATACCACTTACCTCTAAATAACTTATCACTTTACGAGGTCTACATTCGTAAATTTCCTTTGCATTTTTGTTTAAGATAGCATTAAGAATTTCTTTTAAATCCATTAATCCATAGAATGGGAGACAATTAGCCATTCCTTCTATTTCCCAGTAGTTTTCAGTATTAGAAACTCCTAAAAAAAAAAAAAAATACAGACTTAAGTTTGTTTAGTTAAAATTATATTCCAGAACATATCCATTAAAAACAAAATCGCTGGTAAAACATTTAGTGAACCTTCATCACAATTTAGCATGGTCAGGAAAAGTTTTGTTCCTTGGTTAGAAAACAAATAGTAACTTCCCATAGGATTTCATATTAAGTCTAACTGTGCACTGACATCACATGTCCTTTATATAATTTAATTTAATCTCAGTTACTGCTGGTCTGCTCCTTATATTTGTTTAGAACATGTCTTACTTTGGAGGGAAAATGAAGTCCCCTGATATTTATTAAAATACAGTTGTTTAAAATGTTTTAGCAAATGCTGCTCTTCCCATTGATTTAATATCTAATTTAAAGTTCTGATTATTGTGTGATTATTTTAACTTCCAAACTATAAAACAGTCACACAGTAACTTACTAATGCATAATTAACTTGAGGAAATTAAATACTAATGTTTATTCAAAATAGTTTTTTAGGATAATGTTTAAAACTGACATGCTTTCTATTAAACTATTTTATGTAATTTAATAATTAAAATTTTAAAAGTAGCCACATGATTGGCTATATAAGAGCACAGATTATCCGTAACAGCACATATTACAAAGCATCAAAATTTGGCTTTAGAGTACATGATTGTGGGAAATAACAGAGATTTGTCTTATTTAGCTACATTTATATAACAATATTTTTAATACTGAAGTCTAAATCATGTTATCTATAAGTAAGGAAAACTGGACTGTTCAATTTTTGATAAGTAGTAGTTATAAATGAATTCATTTAGAAAGAGGTGTTGGCAGGTGTGGTGATGTATGGCTGTAATGCTAGCTACGTGGGAGGCTGAGGCAAGAGGGTCACAAGTTTAAGGCCAGCATGGGAAACCTGGGGAACTCTGTCTAAACTAAAAAATAAAGTGGACTGGGATGTAGTTCAGCACTAAAGTACTTACTTGCCTAACATATAGGAGACTCTGGGCTCAATCCCCAGTACTGGTGGGGCAGAGGTAGGGGAGGAAAAAGGAAGGGAAAAAAAGAAAGAGGGAGAGAGAGGAAGAGGAAGAGGGAAAGATAAAGCAATGTGAGGGATCTGATGAGTTTCAGATCCTGTGACTTCAAAGACCTAATCCCTAAACTGTTCCTTGACCTGACCTGGATGACAGACATAGTGGTATTAGACTTAACAGAGCAAGTATTCTAATGTTTTTCCTAGGAAACAAGAGAATAATGTAAGATACTGTGTCACTGAACATTATAAGAATGACACAGAGTTCAAAAAAACACCTTAAGTGGGATTTGAACTAAAGATGGGCAAAAAACAGGAAGGAGCAAATATTCTAGTTCACATCTCTTACATATTTATATAGATATGAAAATATCCCAAAATGTCAATCTTTCACTATTACTAATTCTATTAACTACATCTGTCCTGAAGTTGTGACATATTTCCCGGAGTTACTGGTGGATATGGGTTAAAAGTACTTGGCCACAAATGAGAAAACTGAGCAATATTTTAATGTGTTTGCAAAATTCAAATATGGAAAATGTAAATGACATTTGGAACTATGCAACAAACTTTCAAGAAATCTCACAAAATTCTGTGAAATGCTTTCCAATTTTTCAAGAAAAATAGTGGCTTGACAAATTTTCACTTTCTAAAACATGGAGCTCTTGTTGACTCAGAACAAAAAGCTATTCTCCTCAACAAGCAAAGTTTTTATGGTCACACTAAGAATCTTTTCCCTCAAAGTCAGATATATTCTTTATCTTTCAAACGTCTTTATCCAGATCCAAAACTGTTTTGTGACAATTGGCAAACTGTTGATTCAGCTACAAATAAAATTCTCACTAAATGAGATACAGTCCTTAAGAAAATACAACTTAAGTTTTCCAAATGGGGTGGGGGAAGAAGAAAGCATGACTTTTCATCTGATGTATTTGGCTGGAGCTGGAGACTGACCCAATGGCCTTTGCACTGGGTCTTGCTGAGCTGCTAAATTGCCCTCAGACTCACAGTGTGCTGGGATTATAGATGCACACCATCATGTCCAACATTCATCTGCTATCAATAAGGGGAAAGAATGCTGAACATAATCTGTCGATAGCTAATTTCAACTAAAACAAGTCAATTTGCAGATAAATCATTTTTGCTTATATGGTGTCACACAAATCACCTGACAATTCACATATGATTTAAAAACCACGATCAACAAGCTAAAAGTTAAAAGCACTTATCAGGAAGAAATTTGCCAAGCAGATAAAAAAATAAATACGCTCTTGGTATAGACAGGATAGTTATCCTGTTAAAAAAAAAAAAAAAGCACCTGCCATCAATACCACATAGCTAAAACAGATGAATAAAATGTTTACACACACACACACACACACACACACACACACTTTAGTTTATACATTAAAAATGTGCCAGCAGTCCTAAGAAAGACTTCTAGGAGCATTAAAAGAAATGACTGCAAGCCAGGCAGGATGGCACATGCCTATAATCCCAGAACCTGGGAGGCTAAGGCAGGAGGATCTCAAGTCTGAGGTCACCCAGAGCTACAAGGAGAAATATTTTTATAGCCATGCATGGTGGCGCATGTCCGTAATTCCAGCACTCTAGAGGGCGAGCGGGCAGGTCATGATATCAGGGCCAGCCTGGGGTACATAGTGAGACACTACCCTCTGCCCCAAAAACTTTTTATTTAATTTAAAGCAGGAAGTCTGCATGTTATAATAAACATTGACAAAAGTTACAATGAAATTAATGAGTTGATCAGTTACAAAAATGCAAATGCAATTTATTACACTGAAAGAGGTGCCAGACTTGCTGGTTTCAGGCAGAGATAATATTTTAAAAATTAGTCTTCCTTTACAAAACCAGCAATGACTTTTAGTGAGATGAAAATATACCATGATCCCTGAAAATTATGAAAAAGTAACCCAAATGTAACAACTGGAACACACTTATTTTAGTTAGAAAATATTAAATCACATTACCATACCTGGTATCAATTTTATCTTGAAACCATTTGCTGTAAGACGAGGATCAGACAGATAAGTTGGTCCACCATACCTCTGGTCATCTGTTGTCATTTTATATAAAATCTCTAAATAATGAGATCCATTAAAAAGACTGAAAAAGAAATTATGACACATCAGGTTATTAAATATGCAAATTGAAATAAGAGAATTTTAAAAAGTGAATCTAAGGACATTTTGCAAAACATTTCAACCAAAATACAAATGTACAAGTAGCCCTTTGAGAAATTTTGTACATATTTGTTACTATTTTATGAAGACCACATACAATGTAATGTACAGAAAGGAAGAAAGATGAACATAAAAAATAATTACTATCTTCTAGAATATTACAAACTCAATGTAAAATTTAAAAATGGCTCTTTAAACACAAATGAAAACTTTTAATTTACAAGTAATAACTAAAAACGAAGTAACAATATTGTCAAGTGACTCAAGTGGTTTATCCTGCTAAATTTGCAATTGCTAGTGAAATAACAAAATGATTAAACAGGTATCTTTTTCTTCCAGGAACTTTTAAAGTCATCATTTCAAAGCTTGGGAGAGTATCCTTCAGTCTAAGAACAAATGTTGCCAAAGGTGGTATATGAAATGGTTCTAATCATGTAAGCCCTAAACAAAATTTTGAGAGTCAAAAATTATCTACAGTTCAAATTGAACACTCACATCCGTTTTAGTTTTGGTCCGGGTACCTCCTATCAGATGTAACAGATGTCTGTTGAAGCTAGTAAGTGAATAGTGACCTTTTCCCCATTCATTCAATAAATATTTGAGTGTCTTACCACGTGGCAGATACTGTCTTTAGGTATGCTAGGGAGAGCATGATGTTCCAGAGCAGGACGACACACTATTTCATTACATCTTTATATCCTCTGAAAAGCAAATGAAGCTAGGTGTGGTGGCACATGCCTGTAATTTCAGCCACTTAAGAGGCTGAGGCAGGTGGGTCCAAATTCAAGGTCAGTCTTGTTTCAAAATAAAATTTGAAAAGGGATGCACCGTGAGACCACCGTGAAATAAATCAGACACACAAGCTTAAATGGCAAGGGTTTCTCTTGTATGAGAAACCTCAATTATGAATCAGGAGCAAATATAAAAGTCAGAGAAAAGAACTAGGGATATGGAGCTTTCTCAAATGGGCAGGGGATCAAAAGATGGAGGGAGGGGAGGAAAGGGAAAAGGATGAAAAAAGGAATTAAGACACGCTTTGTACATGTAACATGTAAAACAAACATACAATTAAAAAGAATAAATAAAATTTAGTTATCTCAATACAAAATTTTTAAAAGTGCTCAGGATGTGGCTCAGTGGTAGAATTGGCTAGCATATACAAGGCCCTAGATACAATTCCTAGTACAAGAGTGAGAGAAAAAAAGGCAAGAAAAAGCAAATGAAGTTATGTTTTTGCTTAACACAAAGAGGACAGATGTACTCTTCTCTCACCTAACCAACATTATGAAAGTTAGTCTAAAAGCAGGCGGTAATGAAATAATATGCTCCACAATTAAATTATCTGGATTGGAATCTTGGCTTCCCTGCTTGTTGGCTGTGTCCGGGCAGGTTAAGTTATTTAAACTTCTCTTTCAGTTTCCTATAAAATGTGCATGATAGAACCAACTTCATAAAGGTGCTAGGAAAATAGGATCATGAAAAGATATAGCAAAATTTCTGTCATATAGTAAGTGCTCAGTAAACAGCATCATCAACTGTTAGTATGATGAGCACTCTAGCTTACGGACATCTAAATTACTCTATTAGAGGTAAGCTAAACAATTGTCATTAGAACTCTGGTGAGAAAACTGAACCTAATCCATAAGCACCCTGCCAACACTGAGGGTAATTAGTCCATGACTCAGTTTTGGAAAACCTGCTCTGTGAGGGGAGATTCCTTACTTCCTAAGATGAGGGAAGACAATTACACTTTAAAGTATAGCTTGTTACTGTCCATGCTTAATTAAGATTGACATTCAGGATAATATAAGCCCTAAATAATAAATTTACACTGGATTTCTTTAACAAAATCATACTGAAAAATATTTTTTAAAAACCTGTAATTTGGACAACCATAGAAAAAAATTTTTAAATCTAAATGAAAACCTACACAACTAAAAAAAAAAAATCCACTTTAAACATTCAGATGTGCTCTATTCTTTTTATTCTTTTTTGTTTCTCCCTAGTTCTCTTTGAGGGAACAAAAAGTACTACAGGTTTTTTAATTAACTGGTTAGACTAAGGCATCATTTTCTAATTATTCCTTTGAGTTTTCTAAGTCAGTGTTAGGAAAATACAATGAAAGATGGTGGATTTTATTTAATACAGTTACTATTCCCTTATTTGAAAATATAGATATAACAGATGTTTTACTGTGTTCTGGCCCAATTCTTTTCCTTTTCTGATGGGAATGTGCTTAACTAGGGCTTTAACACATTGCATAAATGATTTTTATTCTCTTCTTGGAGGTTCTGAAACAGTGAATAATGTGTAATAGCAGACCAATTCTGAATTGCCCTTTTAACTTTCAGATTTTTATGTTTACATATCCAACAGTGTCCGAATGAAACAGAAATATCAAGTATAATAAAAGAGAATGTTAATAGGTCAGTTATTTACTCATTTTTACAGACCTAACTTCCAATTCAACATAAATCAGATAAAAAGAAGTTAAACACTATCACAGGAAATAAAGAGATAAACAGAGACAAGACATTCCACTAAGTAACTCATTAGGTGTAAAAAGACAAGGTGTGGTATTAAGAAATTTAAGATATATAACAAAATGCACTGAATGGATCTTGAACATGTAAATTAAATTTAAAACTTTGAGACAATAAGGATCAATTCCAAGGAATTATTGCTGGGTAAATCATAAAAAAGTTACTATGGTTAACTAAGAAAATAGCCATTTTTGAGAGCAATATACTGAAGGATATTAACAATAGAAATTGTTCTCAATTTCTTTAGCCAAGGAAAGAAAGTATGTGTGTAAATAAAAAGGACAAAGAAAATGTGGCAAAGGCTTGGTACCTATTCACAAAGACTTCACTGTATAATGCTACTGTGGTGTACTTTCAAAAATGTTAAAAAGACATTCATAGCAATCTAACTTCAAAATTACTCTAGAGAAGTTACTAAGGTTCTCGAGAAATCAGCTTGATAATTGTTAAATGCAGAACAGAATTATGTAGATTACAAAATTAGAAGCAACTAGTTCCATTAAAGGTTAGAAATAAAACTTTTAGGGCCAGGAGTGTAACTCAGTGGTGCTTCCCACAAGGTTCTGAATCTGATCCCCAATACCAGGAAAAAAAAAAAAAAAAAAAGAAATAAAGTCTTTAGGAGATTTCTTTAACTATAATCTATCCCTACTAACAGACTTTCAACCTTTTATTTCTAGTCTAGTATAAATTTATGTTGTTAAGAGTTTAAAAACTGTAGTATTTCACCATACCTCTCTGTTAATGTAATTGGCTTTTCCAGTGGCTCTGCAGGAAGTATATGATTCTCAAGAAGTCTTTTAAATAGCAAGGCTTCCTCTACTCTATATGGATTTAGTAACATTACCTCTCTTTTGCATGTAATTAGCCAGGCATCAGGAAACCTGAGATTGTGGATCAAGCAAAGCTCATCTTTTTCTTCTAAGTCAAATTTCTTTTGTTTCTCAAAATTTATTTTCAAGTTTTTCATAGAAAAAGGGACTTGTATTATTTTAATATTTTCAATCCTTTTTTTTTCAGCACAGGACTGAAAAAGCTCATCAAGTTTGGGCTGGCTGGATAATGAAGTTTTCAACTTCTGCTTCTGTGCCAAACTCCAGGCGCTGGCAGATTTTATCTTTTTTCTGCCATCTTTTAATGGTATTTGTGACTCTTGTTCAATAGCTTTCTTCATTTGACTATTGTATCGTTCCAAGTCTTTAGTGGCCTTTTCTTCATATCTAAGAATAGAGATAAAACAGAATTAATGAGATCATGTCAGAAATATGTTACTATTTTAAGTAAATTTTTTAAAAATCCAAAGAACTGGTATTACAAACAAAACAACAAAAAAACCCCCAATAATCTTGGGCCGGGGATTTAGCTCAGTGGTTCGGTGGCCTGCCTTGCAAGTGCAAGGACCTGAGTTCAATCCCCAGTACCAAAAAAAAAACAAAAACAAAAACAAAGAACTGGTATTATAGGCCCAATAATAAAGTATGTACTGGCCTAGTCCTCCTGTGTACGATTATGCTAACTTGTAAACAAAATATAAAATTCATCTATTTAAAATAAGCACTGAAGAGCAGCCAAAATTGGGCAGAAATGGCATGATCCACATTTCTGTGTTTATACAGCCATTACCCAGAGGGCAGTTTCTAGCAGTAAGGGGTGAGAAGTGGCCTGGCCTCTGTCAGGAGCCTGTGTCATGAGCACACACAGCTACCTGCTTCTAGAACAACTTAAGAAGAAACAACTTAAGAGAGAACTTAAGAGAGCCCAGAGGAAAACAGCCATTAGGAGGCTAAGTGAGCTGAAGAGAGGTTTCAGATGCTGCCTGGTGCAGAGGAAGCATTGAGGCACAGAGTCTGAATCCCACAAGGCTTAGAGCTCGGTAAACACCCTGGACTTTCAGTTCAAATTGGAGAAGGGCCATACTGAGAGCGAAAAGAAAATCTGTCCTAGAATTAAGGGAGTTGCCCTAGGACTAATGGTAAAACCTTACAATCACTCTCCAACAAAGTGAAAATCAAAGGCTTCACAAGCTGAAGGTGATGTGTAATTTAAGTATCTAGTAGAACAAAAATTAAACACTTCTCAGAAGAAAGCAGAATCCAGAGTTTCAAAGATGTTTCCTACAATGTCCAGTTATACAATTAAAAGTTACCACTGAAGCAAGAAGACAAAAAAAAATGTGTTATTGTCAAGATAAAGTGATTGGTAGAAGCCAATTTCAGGATGCCACAAATGTTGTAACTAGTAAAAAAAAAAAATTAAAAATAGATTTTTCATAAATGCTTAAGGATCTAAATAGAAATATCAACAAAAATTATTTTTAAAAGATGAAATGAAAATGGAAATTCCATACTTAAAAAATTGGAGTCCTAAATTAAAAAATAGAAAATTAGAAAAGAAAACAATATTTGAAGCAAGAAGGCCTAACAATTAGCTGATGTGAAGAAACCTAACAATTTACAGATCTAAAAGCTGTAAATCCAAAGCAGAAGAAATGTAAAAAAATCCACAGCTAGATACATTAGAATCAAATGCATGAAAACCAAATATTAAGATAAAATCCCAGATTAGTCAGAAAGAAAGGGAGAAAAAAAAAAGGTGAATGTCATCAGAAACAATACACAAATGGGCCAGGGATGTAGCTCAGTGGTTCTGCTACCTGCCTTGTAAGTGCAATGTCCTGAGTTCGATCCCCAGTATTAAAACAACAACAAAAACCCACAATAAGAAACAATACACAAATTAACAGTGAAATATTTTAAGTAGCAAAAGCCAAATTTGGTTATATCCAGCAAAAATGTCCTTCAAAATGAAGATTAAATTAATATTTTAGATTAAGGGAATTTTGCGCCAGCATATTTGTAGCATTAAAGAATGATACTAGCCATAAGTAGAATTTTACCTACCAGATTTTTACCTTTGAGTCTAAGTAGTTTATGAAAAATTAAGGCTACATAACATATTCACCAAAGCAAATGTACATAAAGGCAACAGAATTAAAATTAGATACAAACATGTACTTAACATTAAAGTAACCTCCTCTCCCTTCAAAAAAAGGAACAGAAGAAACAAAACAGATAGGGCAAACAAAAAATAAGAAAATGGTAGACCTCTAACAAAATAAAAAATTGGAAGAAAGAATGAGAAAAAGATATACATAAAAAGTCAGAGAGGCCATTTTAATACAAAATGAAGTAAATTTCAGCACAAGATGTAATATCAGAGGTAAAGTGGCCATCAAAGAGGTATAACAGTTACGAATACTTATGTATCTAGTAACAGAATTTCAAATTATGCGAAGAAAAACTTACAGACCTAAAAGCAGAAATAAATCCAGAATCATAATAATATTACTGCCCTGTCAAGTGCTTCAATGTAATTGCTATTTTGGAATGCTACTACATATCAACAGCAGAATGCAGATTCTTTTAAGTGTTGGAACACTTATCAAGACAGACAAAAGTATTCTGTTGAAGGGGAAAAATCAGATACATATCATATAAATATGAAGTCTAAGTACTGGTGAAACCAAGACAGTGCAAGAGAAACACAGAAACAATGGCTGCCTGTGGAGCTTAGCTGGAAGGTAGGTGATAGGATGACTTCTCTGGGATGGAGATGCTCTGTATTTTCTTTGGAGTGCTGTTTTTGTACGGATGTACACAATTATGAAAATTAAGACCCTTGCATGTTACTTCAGGTAAATGTTTTCCAACTTGAATAATTTAAGAAAGTATTGGGTCAAGAGGCTGAGGTAGGAGGAGTACCATGAGTTCAAGGTCAGCCTGAACTACCCTACCTATCAATCTACCTGTCTACCCTATCTATCAGAGTGAGACCCTATCTCAAAAAAAGAACCAAAAAGACTACAGGAGCACCCAGGCATGGTGATGCATGCCTCTAATGGAAACACTCTTGAGAAGTTAGGCAGGAGGACTTCTAGGATGAGTCCAGCCTGGGCAACTTAGTGACTTAGTGAAGACCCTATTTCAAAATACAAAAAATAACCAAGGGCTGGAGATGTAGCGCAGTACCACAAAACAAAATAAAAATAAATGAAATGAAACAAATTAAAAAGGAAAATAGTCTGCACAGGTATTAAAAAGTAGAGAAATTATTAAAGGACCAAGAATGTAGCTCAGCAGCACCATGCCTGCCTGGCAAGTGCAGGGTCCTCAGTTTGATTCCTAGTACTGGGGAAAAAAAAGAAATACTGAATTCTAGAACTAAACAATTCTTTAAGTATTACAATCTATACAAATACTACACAATAAAATTTATATACATTAATGCTCCAGTTAGTCATCAGATCAGTCATTAAAATAGCAACACAAAATAGGAAGATTAAAAAAAGGAGGAATATAATTAAATTATAATGGTTTCATAGCTAAATATTTTTTCTGTTGCTATTCTCATCCTACAGTCATCGAAGAAAAAATGAATTCCAATAAACTGAAAATGTCTAAACCAATCATTTCATTCAATTTCAAAGGTATAATAGACATTTCAAAATTATACTGGGTAGGAATTAAGGAGTCCTCTGTCAGCAACAAAAGAAGTAAAATGAAACTTCTTGGGCCCAAAACACTCTGGCACAGCAGTTGTGTCAATGCTTTTTGTGAAAGGCTGATTGCTTAGGCCCCGTTCCCAGAGCTGTTCATTCTCAGGCCTAGGTGCAGGGTGGCCTATTTTAAGTCTCCAGGTGATTACAGTGCACGCCCAAAATGGGAATATTGCTGAGTGTTCACTAAAGTATAGCAGTTATGAGCACAGCCTGGAGAAAGCCAGTGTGGCCTTGTTCTACCACTAGTAGCCAGGTAGACCTATGCAAATTAATTTTTACGTGCCTCAGTAATGCTCATAAGCAATGATACATTGATAGCATGTGCTTCAGAGTTTTGTTAAGAGGAATGAGTTAAAAAGTGCCAACGGGAGTAGGTCTTGGTACATGGTAAATGGTGATGTTTACTATCACTCTTTCTGTAAGTTCAAAGTTTTTTCAGAAGGAAAAGTCAAATATCTGCTTCATAAATGCCTAGATGTTTAGATATTTATATGAAGAATTTCAACAAATTATTTCAAAAGATTATTCTATTCCCAGTTCATAATTCACGAAAATAGTCTCAAATGTTAAAAAATAGTATTACTGAATAAACTATAATAAATGTGAAAAGTGAGATCAAGAGACCACGACAGCATATAATTTGTCTTCAGTACTGTACACATTCATTGAAGAAATATGAAGCAATATCACCTGGTTTCATTGTAAACTAGATGACAAATGTCTTCTTGGATTACTTAACATGCAATACTCAATACTTTTAAAAATTACTTTTGCTCATTTATACTGAGAATGTCAAGTTTTGAATTACTTATATAAAACACATGATTTTCAATGGGCATTATAAGTAAGTATTTTTAGCTCTTTGACATTCAAAATTCAGTGTTTTTCCTTTGCGGTGGAAAGTGAGTTCAAGACAAAGGTCACCATTTGTTATTAATTATAATGTGAAAATTTTCACATATGGTACTGATCTTTTGATTTGCTCAAAGTCAATTTAATTAGTTCCGGGGGCAGGGGGAGCTATGTCCAAAGGAATATTAGGTAAATGTTAAGCAAAGACAGCTGCTACCTTTGTAGCAGTGTCATTATGAGATTTAGCAACTTGAGATTACACTTAATTATCAAGTTTATTTCCCATTTTCAATAATATTGCAATTGCAACAGTCCCTTTAGTTATTTTAAGAAGAAATATATTTATAGTTGCTGTAAATGAAAGCTCAAGTTAACACCAAGTTAGACCTCAGTGGCAGGTTATAGGCTCAAACATGGATTGTAACTCAATGGAGAAAAGGTTTAAGAAAATGAGGGTGCAAGAAGATCCTTAAAAAACCAAACAAATGTAAGTATCTCCCATTCCACAGTCTGTCCTAAGCTCACAGCCGAAGTTTTAACAGCTGGAAACCCCTGATACTAGTCCTCAGGCTTCTATGCTACGGCCCCCGCCTTCTCCATCTTTTTCTCTTACCATACACTTTCATGCAGTTTTCAGTTCCCCAATAACACTACATTCCTCCCAGCTTGACAAGTCCTTAAAACCTTTGTTAGTTTCTACTCAGAGAAAAAAACTTCTGGAGCCATAGATGAAATTAAGCCCAAATGCTAAGTGTTTTCATAACTGTGTATTTTCATTACCTTAAACTCACTATATTCTGTGATTACTAGTTGTTCAAATATGCTGTCCCCAGTAAAATGCACCATGTAAGTAAGCATAGGAAAAGCATGTTTTCTTTATAAGTACTCAGGGCCTTATACACACGAAATCTTTAATATTTCCTCATTGAAGAAAGAGAATGGAAAGGCGGAAGGAAAGAAGAGAAAGAAAGGGGAACAGGAAGAAAGAAACTAAAAGATGGAATGAACTGTAGAAGAGGAGTCTACTCTTGGATGCTTTATATTCCTTGCAGAATTTAGGATCACAGTAAGAATTCCAAGATAAAGTCCAAAAGTAAAGTGGTAATAATGTCGTTCTTGGGTGACATCAGGTTTGTTCAGTCTCTCGCTTATGATTTTGGACTCAGACAACCGTAGCCCATGGACCACAGCCAGTGATGGTCTCATCTAAAAGGTCTGAACCTTTTTATTGCTTTCAAACAGTCAGCTGCGGCATGTGTTTGCCATCACTGTTTGGGTCTGAAAGACAATAATATAGCATTTTGTGACAAACAACTACACTTCTGATTCCAAGATACTTACATTTTCATGACAAATTTCTATTTCTGGAGTCCAAATTAAATTGAATCTTGACTCAGTAAGTAAAAAACGTCACTCACAATAGTGAAATTCCCTTTCACAAACTAAAAACTGGTAATATTCACATATTAAGCAATTATTTTGCGTCTTAGATCTTGTGTCTTATTAATACATTATGCAATCGTCATAACAATCCATAAGAGATTGACCACATATTTTTATCAATAGTTAACAAAGGATGCTCAGGGCCTTGGGTTCTATCCCCAGTGCCTCAAAAAAAGGCAAAAGTTAACAAAGAATGACCCTTGTTAGAAGCTAAGTGTTGTTTCTAAGGCCTGCTGTTGAAACCAATGTTTAATTTGTTGACGAGATGGCAATGGATAGAAAAAAAATGGGGGGTGGTTCTACATACTGATCATAAACAATTACTAGATGAGGACTATTAATGATCCCAGTAATCTGACACTTGAGACTCACAGGAGAAATCACACAGATGTTCCCCAGCTGTAGTACTACCTGCTGCTGAAAGAACAAATGGAAGCAGTTCTCTCTCAAGCTGTTAAATACTGTTCCTTCTTTCACGAGAACTGGACACACCTATGGGTCGTTTCTATTCTCAGACAATGCTCAATCTGTCACCTCTCTCTAGGCAATGCAATCAAACTTTAGTGAGTACTGTACTTGAAAGTTAAGCCTACTCATCCTTCAACTCCTGAGACATCTATTTATGGGGTACCATGCTATGTTTCAATGAAGTCCACTTAGCATCCCCCTTTTCAGTACTGGGGACTGAACCCAGGGCCTTGCACATGCTATTTTACAAGTGCTCTACCACTGAGCTGTATCCCCAGTCCATTTTACTTATTGAGACAGGATCTCAAACTTGCCATCCTCCTGCCTCAGCAGGACACATAGTATAGGATTATAGTGTGTGCTGCCACTGCCAGACCAAGTCCACTTATTTGTAATGCACTCAATAACTGTGTTATAAGGTAAAACTAAAGACAGACATAACTAGAAAACTTTATTAGCGTGATGATTTCAAAATAAACTTCTAAAAATCTAGCATTTGTGAAAAAATTAGAAATGTAAACATCAATTGTTTAATGTATTAAGAATTCCATGCTTTTTTAAAAAAAGGCTAATTGAAAAAAATAAAATAAAAAAAAAATAAAACAAACAAAAAATACAAGGGCCAGGGATTTAGCTCAGTGGTTCCGCCACCTGCCTTGCAAGGTGCAAGGACCCAAGTTCGATCCCTGGTACCGAAAAAAGAAAAAAGAAAATTAAAAATTAAAAAAGGCTAATTGCATTTTTCTGCTGTTTAAAATACAAATGTCTTACCTTTCAGAGATATACACTAAAACTCTCTAAAATAGGTGACCTTAGTTTTAGACTCCGCTTCAGAAATCAAAGGGGTAAAGTGAGTAAAGTTATGCGCAAAGCAGAACAGCTCAGGAAATGGGGTGATGAGCTCACTGCCCTGTATGAAAGAGATGGAAACACGGCCTTTGTCTCCCCTTACAATACAATTTTTAAAAGAGACAAAAGAAAAAAAGTTAATCTATGGAAGCTTTTCATATTGGTGTCTTTATTATTTTTAAACTGATATTGTCTTTATAATACTGAATGAGCTAAGGGGAAAAAAAACAAACCTATAATACCCATAGAGTGTATCACCAAATATAACTGAAGGTAACAGATTACATTGAAAAAGTTCTTTTTTTTTCTCCAGGTATTTGATATAGTACTGAGATACTTTAGGTAACAGAGGACTGGAGGTATAAGTCTATTCTTTTTTT